GAATGCTAAATACGTGTATGTATGATTTATGTACATACATACACGCATGTCTATATATAAGCGTAAACATTTGACACATTGCTTCCTGCTTAAAAAAATACAGATAAAAGATGAAAATATACGTTCACGTACAGGTGTTTAATCGTATAAAGGTATTTTATTCCTCATCAATAGGCGGGCTTCATTATAGGACATGTTTCATATTAGCAGCACAGAAGTGACGAATAATCGCAAAGACTGCATGTGACATACCGCCCATGTTGACATCTCCATCTGCGCCGGCATTGTTACTACGTTCTCTGTTGTTGTTGCGATTACGGCCGCCCCTGTTGGCACCGTTATCTAATCGACCACTCATATTTATTTTTTGAGATGAGGCTTTCTTGGTGTTTATAATACGCTTCGGATATATGTTCCGATGTTTGCGCTCAATTACTGATTGTGTTTGTAACTTTTTGTATAGCAAGCCTTAATTATGTGCCAAATGTGCTTTAGCAGATGTTTGGTAGTTACAAGACTGTAAACTCTACCTTGGAAGACGATGAGAAGCAAAAAGTTCCTGCACCCACCTACATATAACAGGTAAATTATATCAGGAATACCACAACACTGTATGGTTGCGTGTTACGACCACGCCTATAATGTGAATAGTAAACGAAGGCTAGCTAGCATCGAAACACGCCTGACAGACGATGTTCAACGTTGCTGATGGTCAAAGTAGTAAGCACACACATTGAAATTGATTTTATATAAAAATGTATATTTTAAATAAAATATATTTGTAACGTGGATTCTTGGAGCCGATATGATTCTCGGAGCCGATATTTACGCCCATACCCATACTGTTCTGGGGTGAGGTCTGTGAGAAGCCAAGTCTCATGAGATCAACGGCAGTTTGAATTATGAATTGATTTGTTTTTTTAGAAAGAAACATTTTTGCAATTCGGATTTCAACACCTGAATCGTGGGTGGGGCCAGGGAGCCCTTTTAATTCGAGTATGGGACAGCCCCAGTTTGCCAAAGTGGGGCTGTATCAAAACCCATTTTGGGACGATTCCGTATTTTAAAATTAGAGAGGTGCTAATGATGTGTAGATTCTGCACGCCTTTAACTTCTATCCGATTCGTAAATTATTTAGTATTTGACTTTATAATTCAGCCTTATTTACAATTTACAATATAGAATTCAGGAACCTATGCCTCGCAAATCACAACCCAACAGGGGCTACATATATAATAAATGTCTTGAAATCCTCTATTTCACAATATATGAATTGGCATTCATAACCCTGCGTTACCTGACCCGATTCTAGAGAAATAAGGTGAATCCAATTTCGCACAATCACTCGCATCAGGAAAAGCACATAGTTATACACAATAATAGTAAAAAAATAATAAATAGGAGCCTCTATACGAATATACTGTAGAGTGTAGACTGTGTGTTCTGTGAACAGAAACAATACAATTGTGGAAGTATGTCGTACGACCTTCCAAATGATGAGAAGGTGAAGATCTGTGCCGACTTCATACAGACTGGCCCACCCGGACAGTTCACAGACGTCTACAACGGTACTTATTTATTGAGTGCACGGCCAATTTGCGATTGCCATTTATCCACTAGGATACATTACATCGTTGAAAGACCTGTTACTAGTCCACCGTGCGCACATTTACTAAATAGTGACACCCTCGTAATCTGTGTACATGCTGCATTACTCAGAGTTTCACATGCCGCCTACCAGCTTACGCCACTTTTGAACATACTTCGACCACCTCGATGTGTCAATCCGTATAAATGTGGCCATATTCAGAGGCTGCCAGTATAAGCAACCACTTTTTAGTTTTGCAAAACAAGTCGATCAA